GGGGGGGGGGGGGGGCGCACTTCTGATGTTTTGCATGCCTTAGCGGTTAGACCATTGACTATTGCGTCCTCGAGAGGGCATACCACTGTTGTTCCCACCGATCGCGATCACTGATGGCCATTCGTTCCCTCCTACTTTGGTAAAGGTGGCTCAACAATGTTTTCCCTAGCCTATCTATCCTATCGCTGGAATCTGAAGAGGACTGTATACTGATCCGGGAGAGCTCTGCCTTTCGCTTGGTCTTATCACGACTCCCTGACACTATTGTACCCGCTCGTGTCCCGCCGGCGGAGAGGTCGGTACCTTCCTACCTTCCTTCGCCATGTCCTTGTTGCGAGGGGGGGCTGGGCCGGGTTGCCTATCCTCCTACACAACTGATTTTGTGCTTCATGGATCACTTTTCTACAGGAATAGAGGGAGTGCGGTGGTAGACCGAGACCAGTCGTTGGAGGAACATCAGGGAAATATCAATTCAAGAATCATTAGTTTGCTTGCCATGGAGGAATTGCCATGTTTTTATTTTGAACAGGACATGAACACATCATGGCATCACATCGCCTAAGGTGGCTGAGGCCAGTTGTGTTGGATTTTTTTTCCGATTTGGAATCCGGGGGACTGACAGAAAATGCTCAACCACCTCCCTAAAAGAAGGAGGTCTGCGTGCTGGATAGCAAGCAGCGCGCACCAAGGCACTTCGTCAGCTCGTCCTCGCCTCACAGACCCCTGTTTGTTATATAACCGATAAGGATATACTCCACTACTGTGAGCTTCTCGGGGCCAAGTTTTTGGGCAGCTAGAGTGCAGTGTGCGCAGAGTATGCCTCGGACATGAAAGCAAATTCACCCTCTCCAGTTTGGAATTTGAAATAGTTCCAGTCCGGAATTCATGAGGAACTCCAACCAGGACCGTCCAACATTTCCAAGTTGGAATTCCTTCTTTACCCAAGTTGGAATTCCTTCTTTACCAAGCATTCCTTTTTTACCAAGCATTCCTTCTTTACCAAGCATTCCTTCTTTACCAAGCATGATGAACACGCACTGCACCCAAGCTCCCCAAACTTGGCTCGAAGGTATGGCCGCAAACGGGTCTCTGTGACGCGAGTACTGAGTGCCAAAGCGTGCTTGTGTGCTTTTCCAACGAAGTGCGCAGAACTCGTGCGGTCTCACGTGCGTTTTGGATGTAAAAGGCCCAAAATCGGGATTCCAAATCGGAAAAATTCTCTAACTTGTAACAACTGGCCAAACCCCTAAATAGAAGCCGAATCGAATCCCACGACTAGCTTTTACAGAAGCCGAAACCAAACCATTAGACTAGTCAGCGCTGACTATGAAAGTCGAATGGTTTGATTTCGGCTTCTATACCCCGCGTTACGTTCTCTATCGAGGCAAGGAGGGCACATCGATTCAAGACGTGAAGCACACCGAGGCCGCACCTACTTCTACAGCAGAATGGACGTTTTATTTCAATCTTCACATATATCTAAAAAGGTAAAATTAAGACCCATGTTTATGGTCGCCAAATCTTTGCGAAAATGTTTATATTTTCAAACATTTGCGGACAAAGATTTTGTTTCACTGTTTATGGGAGAAAATCTTCGCCAAAATATTCTCAAACATTTTGAAATGGGGCAAAAGTCGCTCGTTTGACAAAATATTCTCAAACATTTTGAAATGGGGCAGGTCGCGAAAATGTTTCCCAAGAGCGGCGAGATTAGTAGCCGACCGCCCCTTCCGTCCTAAACACCAACCACTGCGCAGCGCACACTCAACGTAGCAAGCTCATAGAGGGATCCGGGCAACCCTAGAGTCACCGTGTCAATGTTTTGCCGGCTGATACATGGCGGGAGCTCGTCAAGCGTGCACAAAAAAACAAACAGACAGGGGTGGTTTGGAGGGCACGGAGAAAGCGTGGTTTGTGTCTCCGAACGGCAAAAAGTCGGCTGCTTGAGAGGAGAGGTGAGCACAAAACTATCCAGCTCTCGTCCTCTAGACCATCGGTTCATGTTTTGTTTTCTTGGGTGTCTTCTCCATCAACGGCTCTCATCCGGGTGTGCGTGGTTCAGCAGTGGACGTACTCAACAGGCAGGGAGGCGCGTCGCTGTGAACTCGATGTGTTGAAAAAGTCTTTTTTGGGACGGAGGAACAAGCCCTCTGTATTCAAGTGAAAAAATAGACCGAAAAAAACGTTGTGTCCACAACGTTGCGCGCACAACGATGTGCCTCCCTGCCGGCTGAGCGCGGCCACTGCTAACCCACGCACAACCGGATGAGAGTCGTTGATGGAGAAGACACCCAAGAAAATAAAACATGAATCGATGGTCTAGAGGACGAGAGCTGGATAGTTTTGTACTCACATGTCCTCTCAAGCGGCCGACTTTTTGCCGTTGGGAAGCGCTGACGCACGTTTTGGTCTCTTTTTGACACCGAGAACATTTTTTCTCGCACGCACGGAGCGCTATCGCCACATATTGGCGGGCACAGCATCAGCTCAGTGCATCAAGGGTTGTGGGGAGCCCTTTGCGAGCTCGTTACATTCAGTTTCCATGACGCATTTGTGGTTTGTCTGTCACAAATCGTTTGGTAGCAGTAGACCACGATTCCCGCCGCACGTGCGATGCATTTCGAGAAAACCACACGATAAAGATTTGTTTGCCCATAAAAACGGTACTCAAATGTTCCTCTGGCAGATATTCGCGCGCAAATGTTTGATAACATTTGAAGATTTTTTTCAAAGATTTGGCGACCATAAACAGGGTCTAAAATATACACGCCAGAGAGATGGATGTGGGTCACATCGTTGACGATGCCTCGATGCCTCCAACGTGGTGTGTTCCCATCCCTAAAATGCCATCATTTTTTAGAGGCAGGCTCATGATGGCTGCAGAAGGCCTCGCAACGCTGTTCCAACCAATGAGCTACGCGTACGGGAGGTTCGAGCTCGTTTGGGTATTTTGCAGACTACTCCAGCCGATTTCGATCGCCTTTGACGAAGCACGGCACCTACAGATGTACATGTAGTGCAATAGTTCTACAGCAGTAGATAGAACCTTCCAACTTGACGCCGCGCGTGTATACGCCAGAGCTGGCGAGATTCTTGCACCTTCCAGTGGCTCGGTACAGCGACCTAGGCCCACTACCTTCAACAACCTAGGGTTAGGGTTAGGGTTAGGGTTAGGGTTAGGGTTAGGGTTAGGGTTAGGGTTTAGGGGTGGGTTGGACCTTGCGAGGCCTAGCGCCGTGGTGTAGCCTTAGGGCTGGAAACCCGCTGTGCCTGAAATTTCGTGTCTACCTCCAACTACAACCCAATAATTGTTGAACTGGCGAGTACAAGAATCTCGCCAGCTTTGGCGTTTATGCGCCTGTCGCCAACTTGATCCGGTAAGTGTGCCTTGGCGTACCGTACCTTGCTCTTGTGAGAGATATGACAAGAGTCGCCTCGAAGCAGCAGAGAATGGCACAGAGGAAACAGTAACTACTTTCCATGAACTGCTGACATGCAGCAGCAGCAGCGGCAACGACAGCAGTACCCAATCCATGCCGTTGAAACATTCAAACCGCGTATTTTCGTGGAACATCGCCTGGTGTAATCTCTGTTGTAGCATACCACATACTGCTGTATATACTGCTGTAGATGCGGTGTCCTGTAGTACGCGGTGATGTGACTTTGAACCCACCCGTAGCACAACCCAGAACCTTCTAGATAAAAACTTATCAGCGAGCGACAAAAGGCTACACATGGACATGAGGACCGATGTTCCCTAGCCCCCTTCCAAACAAAGCCTTACCGAGCTGGCGTCCCCTTCCTGCTGCTGCTGCTGCTGCCGCTGCTGCCGCCGTTTCCACCGCAAGATCGGGGCAAGCTTCACCCCGCTCGGAAGCGAGTTGGCCTTCCTCGCCGCCGAAACCGCTGCGTCGGCGTAGTCCTGCTCGTCCTCAAAGTTTCTAGAAAAGGCCGGATACCGCGTGGCCGCGATCATGGTGGTGGTGCTTTTACACCCGCGTGCACTGGTGTGGATGCAAGATCACGGCGGCAGAGCGGCGCCTGCTGTGCTCCGTAGACTTCGGAAGATAGCTGGAGATTTAAATTATCGTGTTTGGTTTGGCAGTCCCTATCCCCTATCCACACGAGGTTGCAGTTGAATCGTTCGGGGGAAAAGCCTGAGAACGGACTTCTTCTTCGCAAGCTGCTGCTCTGCTGCTCCTGCTACTCTGTGTTGTAAGGGAGGGATGGTACCACACACAGCATCCACAGCACATTCCAGGCATTCCTATAACATCTCACCTCAGGGGCTCCGTACATCGCAATATTGTCTACCGTAGCCCCCCCCGGTATGGTTACCTCACAGTCACGTGTGTATCAGTCCCTCGTTGCCTGTGTGCGTCCGCGCGTCCGCACCAGCCCAGCGCCGACACCGACGACTCCTCTCTCTTGCACTGGTGCAGCCTCTCCAACGTCTGGTACTGCTTATACCTTTGGCGTAGGCAATAGGAGGAACAACTGGCGATAGCACGAAACAACATCCCCGGGTTGGTCACGCAGCAAACCGCCGCACCAAAATGACGATCTCCGTAGCTACCAGCAGTGCGGAGATGGAGCGCCTGAGCGCGGCAAGGGAAGGCTGGAGGCCCATCCAGGCCACTATATGTGGAGGAGGGAACGGTGCCCATGTCGCTGCGGGTTTCTTGGCTTCTCGTGGCATCAGGTGAGAGAGAGAGAGAGTGAGGCCTACAACAAGCTCTTGTCTACTTATTGCTTCTCTGTTGCTTGCGTATGCGGTTGCAACAGAGAAGAGTTGTCGTCATCTACGACATGGTATGCATACTATACTAGATACGGCTGCGTGTCTGTCTGTGGTTGTTCCCTTGGGAGTTGGTGATGCCTCCGGCTCTTGCCTCTCCGGCGGCTGCAACAGAGAGGTGTTGTCGTCGCCTACCACGTGGTACCCAGCTGCCTGCCTGTGGTTGTTCGCTTGGGAGTTGGCTTCCTGCTGCTCTCGCCTCCTCCGGCTGTTGCAGTCCGTGTCAAGGTTAAGGTGCTGTACATGACGCAACCCCAACCAACACACCAACAGCATTCCGACCTACACTGCCCACCTGTCAAAAGGAGGACTCTGACGGCAACGAACGGCAGCAGTAATATTGTTCTCTACTTACGCACAACCACCATGGCCGTCTTGTACAATGTAGTCTAGGCTTTCAACTATTTAGATGGAGGGGAATGAGTACGACGGGGGGGATCGACGCCAGCGATCTACAAATTGTTGCCGCCGCCTTCTCGCAGCCGTTTCCCCCCTCTGCGGCTTGGCAACGGACAAAGCAAGAGGGGGACTACCAAAGATGGATGATTTGGTGGCGGCTTGCACTCTAGTCAAGGTGCCCGTAACGCGCAACACAAACATGAAACGGGGTGGCGTGCAAAACTCAAGTGATCAAAACGAATCAGAGGTTCGAACCTGCAGCCTTGGGCTCTCTAGTTTTCGGACAGTATTTGTTCAATGACGGAACAGGTACCTACCGTCCAAATTGTGAGATTTTATCAGAATTCAAGCGCGTTCGGCTTGCTGCTTCTGTCTTAGCGGGGTGCTGTCCCTCGCGTCGTCGCTGCTGGTTTCTCCAGCATCATGCGAATTGAAACTCTCGATGCCGCACACATCACCATATGGGTGGGTATGCGTTGAAGCACCAAGCGTTTGGAGTGCGTTCAGAAGACGCGGGGTCAATGTTTATTTTTTGACTGACCGCGCGAAGTCCCCTCCTCGAGGGCACGCGAATGCCACCACCTGGAGGTGCCGTTTGCTGTCATTCGGCGAGATCGCCCCTCTCTCTACTACTCCGTATTTGAGATCGAACATTCGAAGCTCGATCGCCCCGCGACCAAGCGGTTGCGAACGAATCAGAGCGGCCTAGCAAATGTTGTTCAGAGAGATACTTCGTGTGTACGTACATGCCGGTCGGGTTCGTTGCTCCACCTTTTCGGCCTCGGAGCGACCAAGGGGGGTGCGATCTATCCGTTGGTGGCGGTACATAAAACAGGGTTGTCACTCTTGTTCCGTCATCCCACTCCTACGCTGTTTTCGCGCTCATCTTACACGGATGCCTTTGACCAATCAAAACGCGAACACTTCCCAACTCTAGGGTAAACGTCTTCACTCGACAGTCCAAGCGCTGGGGCGACGCCATCACCCTGTCCACGGAAGGCAGCAGCTGGGAGAAGCGAGGCACGATCACCGGGGCCCTGAACCTGGTAACCGGGGACGCGTCCCAGGCCTGCGCGGGCTCAGAGGTGCAGCAGTACAGCAGTAGGTGTGCAGGAGTGGCCGGTCGTGGACTGCCTCGTACGCAAAGAAAGAAAGTTTAGTTCGCATTACGACCAGGCGGGGGGTACGTAGACCCTAAACCCCAACCCCAACCCCATCCCCAACATACTTAGCAGATTCTATTTTATTTTCAATGTGTTTCCTCATTACTTAAGAGAACCTGCATATAGGGTACTACCGGTCGTAGCGCCACCGCTGCTGCCGTGCGAAGAGTACAGCCGTCAAGTGACTGACGCGCGTATAAAAGAAGGCAGAAATCGGACGGCCCGATCGGAGGGAGGTCTACGTCCGCGTGTTGCGGTATGTGGTGTTCTTCCAGTTGGCTGCTTTCGGGCGTCTTCAGCCGCTTTGGCTGCCCTTTCCGTTCACTCAATAGCCACCGCGCACCCGTAAGGTTCTGCGAGCACTAGGATTAACTAATTTGAGGTTCACACTGGAACCTAGTACAAGGGAAGGCCGTCAGTGGCGTTACTTTTCGGCGTCGAAAGCGTTATTGAACTTTTGTCGGAATAGGATTCGACGATCGTTTTCTAAGGAGGAAATGAAGAGGTCGCACGAGAACCTTTCTCGGGAAAAGCGGTGAATCGAACGATAGGGTGTGGTTTGTTCTCACCGTGTTCGCCTCTGTAATACTGGGTACGACAGATACTGCTGCTGCCGTCGTCCGCTTGCCTCGCCCTTGCTTGCCCTAGATGCCCTGATTGCTCTGCTTGCCCTAACTGCTGTATTTGGTCTCCAGGTGGTGATTATTGCGGCGCCCGCCAACGCCCATCCCGACCTCCTCCGGGCGGTGGCTCCTTTCGTGGACGACGGTGCAGCAGTGGGTGCACTCTTCGCACAGGTGAGAGGAGGAAAATAGGGGACAAGATGAAGATGAGACGACTGGCATGCTTTCTGTTTTTGTGAGTGATGACAATAACACTGGGGGCGAAAGAAATCCAAAACCCTCCGACGCTTGGTTCTCTCGACCAGCAATCTGTTTGTGGAGGGACGACATGCTTGTTAGCCGTTGTAGCCGCTGCTGCTGCCGCTGGCATGATGTTTGTCGGGGAAAAGTTGTGCTTATTTGCCCTTTTTGCCATTGCTGTTGCCGCTGCAGCTGCTGCAGCTGCCTCTCTTGTCGTCATTCAGCCACCGACCTCCCGGTGGCGATGCAACGCCCCCCCCCCTCCCTCGGCCACACCACGGCATGCCTTCGATAAAGCAGACGCGATCAACGGTGCGGCGTAGTCGTGAAACGACGAAGCCATCCCCTGGTGCCCTGACTATTTACACCCTCGGTTTACGTTCGCACTGTTGTATCTCCAGGGCGGCTTCGACTGGGCTTGCGTGCACTCGATGGGGTCACACGTTAACCGCGTGGGGTGCCTTTTCGGACTCCAGAACATCCCGTGGATTTGCAGGATCAACGAATACGGGTACGAAAAGAAAAAAAAGAAGACAGTTCGATCTTGTCTTGTTGTTTGTGTGGATGGGATATTGTCTTCGTTTTTGGCCGTCGAGAGAGCGAGCGTGTGCTCGGGTGTATATTTCACTTGTACCGTACTTCCTCCCGTTGATTCGGAGATATGGTATCGAGTACGGACGAGTCGATGATCGCAAGGTTTTCTCTTTTATTCCGCGGCGATTGGGCTGCCCGACTTTTACTCCTACCCTCCTTTTTCTCTTGTCTCGCTTGCTCTCTTCTCCCTCGGCTGTCTGTACCTCCCTGACGCGAAAACTTGGGGTGCCCATGGCCGTTCCTCCTCTCGCACATTTGTGTTGTTCTTCCCCCACGCGTCCGCCGTTGTGCCGGTGTCTACATGAACGCTTTCATGTTTTTCAACCACTACCAACATCACCATTCAACAACAGCGACGTATGCTTAACATTCCCAACAATACGAAAACAACAACGTACGTATGTATGCGCAGCGTTCCCAAACAAAAGGACGACAACACCAACAGCGACGTATACAACATACCCGACGAAACAATAATGATTTCGACTACGGCAGGAAGTCGGCTATAGTCGTAGGTCCAAAGAAGAAGCTTTACGTGGCGTCCTACCCCGTGGAGCAGCGGAACGAGATGGCCCTCAGGGTGGAGGCCATGTTCGACATCCCGTGCGGAACGGTCCCCAACTTCCTCAACCTCACGCTGACACCGTCCAACCAGATCTTGCACCCTGGTGAGGTTGGACTCGGCGCGGTTTGTGGGAAGGATAACGAGGGTGTACAGACCGTTTTTCAGCCTTTTGAGGGTCTCATGCCACTCGGCTATTTTGAGAATGATATATGTCGCTCCCGGTGCACTGGTGAGAGAAAGGCCACGTAATGTGTGTGCAGTGTGGTGAGCAATCGGTTTGCTATCGTGATCGCGTCATCGTCTCCCGGCAACGTAGGGATTGATCTCTGCGGCGTTTTCGCGCTTGGTTGCCGAGAGAAACGCAGTGTGCACTGGTGGTATGGTTCTGCAAGAGCATGACTATTCTTACTACACTACTGTGGCATTCGGTTTCTGCCTGCATTCACGGATGCGCTCCGAGTTCCCCGACGCATACCTCCTTCTTCCCGACACCCCCGCCGTCCCTGCTGGTTGGAGCGAACCCACTTGATCGTTGTGATTCCGGTCGTTCGCCCCCCCCCCGCCCGCCCCCGGCCCGTCCTATCTTGTTCAAGAAACAGCGAGAGAGAAGCTAAATTAAATAAGTCTAAGAAGGGAAACTGGTTTTGAGAGCCATGATAAGTAGGAGGCATTAGGGCATTTGCAAGAGATTGAAATGATCGATTGTGTAAAATGGCCGGTAAGCAGCAAATTCGTACCCCGCCCCTGCTCTTACGGCGACTAACTAAGCGTGTCTGACCGCTACCTTTTTGGCCGCCCCGTGCTCTCCCTCCGCCCCCCCCCACGCACGGTCAACCCGCCTCTGGATGGAACTCCCAAACTGCTGGACGGTATTACGGTGAAACCGCTCGGTGGCGAATACCGTGCCGCGCACCGTGCCGTACCGTATGACGATAGCTCGGTACTACGGGATATTCTGGGATTGGGACGGGACCAAGACTTACTCCAAGGCGGAGCTGGAGGAGCGGAAGGGACTGACGTTGTGTGAGTCACCATTGTCCATAGTCGCCATTTTCCAATGTCGTTGCGGTCGTTGTCGAGTACGACTTTACTCCTCCTCACTGCTGTATCCCTCGGTTTTTCATTTTTTCCAATCATTTTTGTTGGATTCTGTTGTTTTTCTTTGTGGATGTCTATTCGCGACTTTTCCCGGTTGGTTTCCTCGCTTGTTTTTCTTGTTTTTCTTTCGTTCGCCCGCTCGCCCGCCCTCCCCTAGAAGCAGGCGCAATATTTACCCTTCCAGTGCCGGGCGACACCCTCAATTAACAGGCCTCTAGTTTCTGCGTACCCCTATGTCCCTGTTTGTCGATGCTGTTTACGTTGGTACGGGTGCGTTGCGGTTTATCCTCCCCTCTCTGTTGCGTTTTTGGCGCTGGCGGAAATAGCGAAAATATGGTGTGGTATGCTGCCCCGTGGATACGGAACGGCGAGTTTTGGCTGAGAGTTGGGTTTAGATGTTGACGATGCCGCTGTTGTGGGTGTTGCCTCTGCCGCTATTAGTTGTGGTGATCAGTGAGAGACAACATGTCGATGTTTACACGTCTGAACCCGACAATGATACACTCCGTGCATCCATGTACAGGAGGGCTAATGCCATGTTTCCGACGCCGTCCCCGCTGTTGCCCCTGCTGCGGTTGCCTCCGCCTCTCGCTATCTACCTATGCAGACGACAACTTCGACGAGTTTTCGGCCGAGACTCTCGCGGCCATCGACAACGAGCTGCAACAGATCAAGCTCGCTCTCCTCCAGCGGTTCCCCCAGCTAGACCTGTCCTCGGTTTTCCCGATTGGCCAGGTACGGAAAAAGCCGTACCGTACCACCTCAACCGGAATAACCGTTCCGCCTTGCCCGGAAAAGTCGTACCGTCTCACCCCCACACAAGGATTAGAAGTAAGTGGGTGCACAGACAGCAAGGATTGCATGCTGAAGCTACCAACAACCACACACCCGCAAGCCCAGGTGTTGAATGCACAGCAGTAGTGGTTGGTCTACACCTGCTACCCCCATTTTTTTCCACGCGCGGCAATATATCGAGGAGTTTGTCTCCGTCACCACCCCCCCCTAACCCGTGCGTACCGGCGGCCTCCTCGTGTTGCGGGTTAGCTCGAAATATATGTTTTTACGGATCTGCTGTGTACAACTGCTGTGGGAGACTTGAAGGTCTCTGAAGCGAACTTCCCAAACCGTCGATGTAACTGTGTCCCTTTGCCCCGACCCCGGCTCTATCCCCGCGTCATGATGAACCTCCTTTCCACGGCTGCTTGCCTTGCTTCCCCTGGAACTTGTTGATCAGCGAGTGAAGCTGCACTACGGCGAAGACGTGTCGGACACGAGCTCCCTCAAGCAGATCTTCTGCTCCAACATCGGTTACAAGGGCTGCCCAACGCCTCTGAAGGAGGTACTGCTGTACGGCTTACACGCACACGCCGGCACACCTGCCGTTTGCGCGCTACACCCAACGTTCACGTTACTCGATCGTACCCCCCCCCCCCCCCCCCTCACGGCGCTTCGCGCTTGGCCATGTGAGAGCCTGGCCCGGTGGAGCGCTCCGTCCCGGCTTTGTAGGGATGCGAGGTCAATTTGCGGCATGCACGGCTATGAGTACCCCCCTCCCCGTCTCTGCTAAAGCAGTCTGATTGTCTGCCTTGTGTGTTGTTTTTTGTTGTTGTCTGTTTCCCCACGTTCGTGAAGTTTTCACCCGGTCGGTTCGGGCCCAACGTGGACACTCGCTTGTTCTGGGAAGATATCCCCTTCGGCCTCTGCATCCTCAAGAATCTTGCCGGTGAGAAAGGGTTGTACATGCGATACAATCAAAGCGGCCAGCGAGTAGAGGAGATGTGGTGCACGTGCGTTTGGCACGCACCAGGCGTGGATCATTGGTACCTGATGCTCAAGAAGAAGCTCGCGCTTGAGTGCGATGGACAGACATTCGCCTCAACTATCGGTGGAGATGTGACAAGCATGAATCGTTGCTCTGTACTCCGAAGAACAGCCCCAGCTTTCGCGAAAGCGGGTTGATCGTCGAATGTCGCCGCGATGTTTTTTGTCTGTTCATTTTTTTCATTTTTGCGCAACGCTGGATAACACAGTCCGACCCCTTTTCAGCGGCATGACCTCTGATCACAAGATGTAATGTTCGAACATCATCATTTTCCGTCGAGCTCATGCTTCACAATCAGAACACCGACAGACTCCAAACCAACGTGCCAACCCTATGTTCAATAGATCATGGCCATCTACCACCCTCTTACCATTTTTCGGAAGCTCTAGAATCAACCGCTGCTGCAGAATCTACCGAACAAACCTGTTCGCGCCCCACCATCAAAATCTTGCACGTATTCTTGAGGCTGTTTGTTGATGCACGTTCCAACTCTCTCGCGTTTACGTCTTGTGACGTTTTCGTCTGTGGGCTGCCGTTGGCCGTATGAACAAACACGTGTCGCGTTTACACTCATTCCTGCAATGTTGTAGTCAATTGGCTGCCGTTGCCCTTACGAACGGACATGCTCCAACTCTGGCGTAAACGCTGCCTGTTTCTGTCTGTCGGCTGCCGTTGGCGTGACGGACGAAAACCCAGAGATGCTCGGTAACTTCCCGACCCCGACGATGGACTTCCTCATCCGGTGGCACCAGAAGCCGATGGGCCTCCAGTTCCTCACGCCGGAGGGGCAGCTCAACCCCCAGCTGCTGGAGCGCACGGGCGCCCCGTACAAGTACGGCATCCACTGCCTCGAGGTGGGTCTTGTAGAACAGAACAGATGGCACACCCACGCCCACGCTCGTGCGGGGACCCCGTTTGTTCGTTCGTCCCTTCACGCTTGTTGGCCGGCAGTGGGTAGGCCTTGGTTATTTCGCCGACGTTTGACGTATGTGTGGACGTGACCTTGGCGTTCTTTGACTGCACGGGTGACGTAGAGGGTTGCACGCAGAGCGCGTGGGTTGTCCGCGGGATCCACTTGCGTGCCGCTGTGGGTCATCATGCCTCGAGGTACGCACAGGTTCGGTGGGTTCGGTTTTTGTTGTGGAAAGTATGTGAGAAGTGTTTTGCGGCTTGACACTCCACTTCCGGGTCTGTTTGTTACACCACATGCCTAGAAAAAATGCTGGCAAACACCCTTGCGGCAACATGTACGTTTACTGTACCACCTGAGACAGGAAAATGAGCCCGTATATCAATAGGCTTTTGTTCGTCTTCAGTCAGTCATCTGTGGTGGCTGCGATCTCGGGCGCAACAAATATAGCGTGGTACCAATTTGGGCTGAGGTGTCGGCGTACCGCAACAAGCTGCAGTATCACAGTAGCACGCATTTCATGCCTGTTGAAAGGAATTGGGGAGAGGCCCCGTCGTACACGTCTCATGCCGTCGAAGCACTGCCATAATGTATGCATACGCGTGCGCGCCCTTTCTCCATAAGATGGCAGTTTTTTTTTATGTATGATGCTCGAGCCAAGATTGTCCGGGAATATTGTTTTTGTCGCCAGCGCGGAAGGCCATTAGCGTGTCGTTGTTGCTTGAATATGCGCCGCGCCTTCATTACGCGCTCCCGCCTGTTTTTTTTGCCCAAGGAAACGACCAGCAAACACTGCACGTCGTGTAGGCCTCTTCCTTTGAGCACATGTCAATATCATCTGCGTGATGTTAGGTACCGTTAAAGTGATATCAAGAGGTACTGTACCGTCAGCTCGGTTTGATCATGTTGCCTCACGACGTTCGCTGAGTGCTACTCGTACCACCATGGGCATGTTCGCTCTTTTTAACTTTTGCTGTTTGTCCTGCTGCTGTGTTTGCGCGTCATATGCGTGTGTTCTCGCAGGATTTGGTCAAGACGTGCATGCCGCAGGCACTCCTGAACTACAAACACCCGCGAGCCCGGCTGTGAATAGACGAGATAGTAGAGAGCAGCGGCGGCGGCGGCGGCGGCGGCGGCGGCAGCAGCACAGCTGCGTTCCTGCTTGGTCTAGCGAGGGGAACGATGATATTGTTGTGGTGTCAAAAAGGATCGCCAATGATGCGTTTAGCGACGGATTCATATGTCCGGTAGTGTTCTGGAGGCATCCACACGGCGGACGGACTAGGTAGCTACGGCTTGGGGGTGTACAGATATTTGCCGGGTGCTGCGGTGAGTGGTGAGCAAGGAGTGATGTTGGGTGGGGGCTGGGAGCGGGCGTGTTGTTACTGTTATCCGTGTCGGACCGTGTGTTGGTGTGCGAGCGAGGCTTGTGTGACTAGTGGCAATTTTTGGAGATGCAAGTGATCCGTTCAATCCCTTTGTTTGGTTGAGAGTTGGGGGGGGGGGGAAGAAACTGCGCGCCGTAGTATTTTGAGTGCGTCCATATTTCTTGTTGGTCCTGTAAGAAGCTTTGGGCGCTAGGCACAAATGAGTACTGGTAGGTGCCTATTTGCTTGGCCATCCGGCGAGAGTGTACGGGTGAGAGAGAGGGCTACAGACCAAATAGCCTGAAACCTTTTTGTTTGTTGTGTTGCGTTCATTCTACAGTAAAATGGCCTGGTAAGTTGGGGAAAAAAAGACGCACCTGTTGTTTACCAACACGTGAGCGAAATTTACCAGGTGGTTGAGGGAGGTGGCGTTTGCTACGGCGTACAACACCGCGCTTTCGGAGGGGGGCCTTTTGATCCGCGTCTCGTGCCTTCTGCTATGACGGTGCTGTCTGTGAAGCTGACAAGAAGAGTCAGTTGGAGAACTGGGAGACCTTAGGTTCGTGTTCCATGGGACTATATTATATCTACACCCAAAAGCTGGTGAGTTCCGATGGGGCTACTTTTGGTTGAGCGACATGGTGGTCGTCAAGTGTTGTGGTGGTACGGAGTCTTTGTTGAGGTATTCATGTATTGACCGCCAAGAGAAGAGGAGTGTCGGCTCGGTGGTGGTTTGTGTAAGGTTGGATGGACAGGAACAGCTGTTTATCGAGAGAGGGGATGATGGGGGACCGGCGTTGTGTTCGTCATGTTTGGTGTGGCAGAGCCAGTTGTGGAGTAGAATCGGCGGAAAGGGGGCGAGTGCGTGGTTGCGTGTAAGCTTCGCCAGAAAGCGTCGGCGAGAATCGTAGGGGAACGTTCGACTGGACGGAAATGTGTTGAGGTTTAGGAGTATATATAAAAGGGGGAGACGTGTCGATGTTCCACATGTTGAAGGCACGTTGTTGTGGGTGTAGTTCGCTGCCGGATGGTAAGTTGGAGACAAGAGAGGTGATGAAGGGAGGGTTGGGGCAATGTTGCTGGTTGGTTTGTTGGTGGAAGAACGAAGTGAAAATGCAGTCGGTTGCACGAACGAATGCCGAAGAGCAGAGAAAAAACGTCAGACGAAGAACACCCAAACGAGAAGGATCCCGACCCCTCTTCCCCACTCACCATGTCTTCCTCGTTTGGTAGAAGAGGAGGGTCTAGCAACGAGTAGAGCGGCGGTTCGACTACAAGCCACGATCATTCAGCAGCACTGCCCGGCGTGTCCGTTTCCCTCGGGCCTCCCGCGGACGGCCGCGATACGTTGCGTGCAAGCGTTCCCGTCAGCTCGAGTGGCGGGAACCACCCGGGTTCAGGGCAACGGTTTGTACGCAATCTGTCAGTACGGTCCGGAGGCAGACCCGAAGGCACCCAACACGCGCAATTGTTCTAACGAAGGACCGTGGCCAGTCGAATTGCTGCGGCATTCTTCGCGGCATCTCCGGCTGCCGAACGAGAGAAGACGTGGGCGAGTGAGGAAAGAGGGGTCATGGGGTCTTCATGTAAGCCCTGCCGTTCATATTTTTTCCCGCGAAATATTTCGCAGCACGCTCCACCACCACAGTCCTGGAGTGACACTGAACCGGACTCGTTTGTTTGTTCTGATTGGTGCGGGGGTTCTTTGCTGCAAATGTAACGCCGTGGCGGCCGGCGCATGCGGCGAGGTCGGCGAGATCTCTCCGTCAATCTTCTGTCTCTGGCTCAGGGACACATCGATCCATCCGTGGATCCGTCCACCACTCTACTTCTGCTGTTGTTGCTGAGGGCATGTTGTGTGAGACCGCCACCACACAAGCATGTCTTCAGAGCAAACTCGCTGCTCAAGTGACCACACACCACGCACACATGCACTGTACACACGTACTCTAGTTTGGACTTGGGCTTGCAGTGAGGTGGATACCATGGTGGTGCACGGTGGAATGAAAGATCGCCACGGATCGCGGATGAACGCGGAGGAACATTTACCCGTCGTCGGATTATGGCTCGTCGTGGATCGTGCCGAACTGCTTTTGCTGTCGACATAGTCTAGACTACTGCTTGGGCCCCGTTACAGCACGGCCAGTGCACAGGTGGAGGTCGAACCCCCTTGTGGAGAAAATACCCCTCTCCCCCCCACCTTGCCAAGGTGGATGTGCCTCATTTTCCTGAATTTTGTACCTTGACAATCTCGGCCGTGCGGCAACCTTGGGAGTCACCACGCCAAGGGGTAAAACATCCAAAGGTTATCACAATGCCGGCAACACGCTACCTTGGCAATCTCGGCCGTGCGGCAACCTTGGGAGTCACCACGCCAAGGGGTAAAACATCCAAAGGTCATCACAATGCCGGCAACACGCTACCTTGGCAATCTCGGCCGTGCGGCAACCTTGGGAGTCACCACGCCAAGGGGTAAAACATCCAAAGGTTATCATAATGCCGGCAACACGCAACCTTGGCAATCTCGGCCGTGCGGCAACCTTGGGAGTCATCTCGCCAAGGGATAAAGGATCCAAAGGTCATCGCAATACGGGCAACACGCAACCTTGGCAATCTCGGCGGTGCGGCAACCTTGGGAGTCATCTCGCCAAGGGGAAAAAAATCTCGAGGTCATCGCAATGCCGGCAACAACACGCGATTGTAGTTATTCAATGTGTGTGTGCGGAGGAACCTTGTGGAGGAACAACTCGGGGGCGCGCAGATTGGAGTGCGGAGGGGGCCCACGGAAGGTGCATAATTTCCATAGGGGGGGGGGGCTCTCGAGAAAAAAATGGTTGGAGCTGACGTGGACACGCACGACAGAGCCAGAGTGTGTCCCTCCCTTCCCGCGCTCCCGTCCCTCTTACGTGCAAAGAGCATATACACCATCAGCGCTATGAGCAGCACGGGCACTACTGCTCACCCCCAGCATGCTGCAGCAGCACAGTAGCAGTCTCAACTGCAGAAGAAGGAGGAAAAGATGCAGAAGCACGTCGCGAAGATCAGGACCAAAGTGCGAAGGTTGCGTGACAACCTCACGGATGAGGTGAGGGGGGCACACCCACCCGATGTAGTATGAACCTTTTGCCCCGTCCCTTTGGATTTGCACCCAATAATAAACCCGCCACGACCTCTATACTCTCTCTCCCTCTCTTTCTTTCTCTGTCTCTCTCTGTTTCTCTCTTTCTGTCTTTCTCCCTCTCTCTGTTTGTCTCTCTCTCTCTCTCGCTCTCTCTCTCTCTCTCCTTCTCTCTGTCTCTCTGTCTCTTTCTCTCTTTCTCTCTCTGTCTGCCTGTCTCTCTCTGTCTGCCTGTCTCTCTTTCTCTCTCTCTGTCTGCCTGCCTCTCTCTGTCTGCCTCTCTCTCTCTCTCTCTCTCTCTCTCTCTCTCTCTCTCGCTGGCTCGCTCTCCCATTCGTTCCCAGGGATCTCTCCGAAGATGTCAGTACTGCTGTAGACTATGACCCAACTTCATTTCGTGACTGGGTTGATTTGAATTTTTATGTCTTTTTCCCCACAACTGGCTCTCTGCGGTCAAAGATTTTCCAAGCGTGCGTGTACATCCATAAGTCACGGCGGCAAGGATAGTGCAGCAGTGGGTCCCTGTGAGCCCATGTGGGGGCTCACAGGGATAGGGACGCGGTGTATGTAAGGGTGACGAACAGGAGTGAGTACAGTAGTACTACTGTTGTACAGCAGTAGCAGCTATGCGGAGAGAAATAGACTGTACAGCAGGAGTAGTTTCTGAGCAGGTGTGGATGCCGTCTCCGACAGCAACCGTCCGCACAGAGGATGTACCTGTCCAAGCAATACCTGTTGGCACATCTTCTCCACCTCATCTTTGGACAGAGCATACACTGACGGGAAACCGCCTCACAGAAGCGCCAGATCGACGAAAAAACGGCCCGCGCATCAGAGAATCGAGACCATCATCCACTATCGCACAAAATGCATAAAAATCGTGATAAATTTTACTAATCTGTACTACAAATAGAGAGCTGTGATCGGACCTGTGATCAGAGCTGTAGTCCCGAAAACCCTTTTGCCTTTGAGCGAAATTTTGCACACAGCAGACGAACCACCCTCCACTCCCAATACTGGGAACCACACGCACCGCAATCACAACAACATCAAGCACCGAGGCAGTACGTTAGCATCGGCTCCGGTGTACGCTTGCTCTGCTCTCCCCCACGGATGCGGCACCGGGTTGATCACATGTTCAGGGTGCTGTATGCACCCTCAGGTGGTATTTTGCGTTTGAATCTTGCAGTACCGGTAGGCAGTAGATTGGATCTGGAAAGGATATCTGCCCCACGTCAGAGAGGTTAGGCATGGGTGAATAGTATTGCACTATGTGAGTCCTGTGCGCATTGCTGATAAGCGTGCTTTTGGGGTGGGCTGCCTGTGTCTCCCTGCTGGTCTCTATTTGTGTTTTTTGCTCTTAGCCGAGGCACAACGGCGATCTTTCGGCACGCAAAGTGATCGGAGCTGAGAACGGAGCTGCATCAGCCTGTAGTCACGTAAGGGTTAAGACTACTAGGTACGACCCAACGAATCCATCTCTATCGAAGAATCCTCACACTACAGTACAAGTGCAAGGGGCTTCGGGGGCTTCGGGGGCTTCCGCCGTCACGCTTAAGGAAGCGATTCCAAGATACATGTTTTTTTATCGCGTAAAAGATGCGGTTGGTGAGTTTTAAACGAGGTTCACTGGCTGAAAGATACTCGCCTTGCCGACATCTGTGCATACGAAAGAGAAGAGTAGAAAAGAGACTCACGAAGGCTGGGCAAGAGTGGGATGCGGGAGAGCGCTGAGGAGCTGAGGAGTGAGGAGGATATGCAACCGAACGAGTGCGGCCGTCGAGAAGCAGAGTCACCCTGGTTGTCATATTCATATCTTTCGCTGTTGTTGTTGTTGTTGTTGTTGTTGTTGTTCTTTTCTTCACAATAAACAAGTGTCAGTTGCTATTCCCAAAATCTAGCGAAGACTCGGTCGGTGGTCACAAAAATGCTAGAGCCATCAGAAGATACAATATAAAGAACACTCACACTTTGCAAGGAAAGGGCCGGCGTCAAGAAGAAGTGCACCTACAATCCCTGCAGTACGTATACGTGCCAAAAAATAAATTAAGTACCTGTTCGCACACTACATTCGACGACAGCGCGCAGAGAAGAGAGAATCAAACACTAATCCCTCGTGTCGCGGCCTTGAATTTAATGTTACCATTGTTTGATCTCCGTGCTGCTCGTCCCTGTCCCTGCTTGTATCTATTGCTGTGCAGACCAGGTGGATCGACGTGGACGACTACAAGGACGGGAAGCGTCTCGTTTCATTCCTGGCGAAGCACATGTCCCACGTTCTGACGGGCAGCGAAGCGGCGGTGAAGGGCGCGCTGCTCGCCAATAACATCAATTTACTGGTAAGGTTGGAAAGCTCTCAACAGCTAGGTTCAGCTACACAGCCTCGACCCCACTGCTGTGCAAGATTGGACATGAAAATCGTTGTGGCGTATTGTAGCCCCTGATGAGGACGTCGGGCTGAGCCGCTCTGGAGAGCTCACCGTAGGTTCTCGCCGAGAAGCAAAGGATTTGCAACGTCATCATTACGGAAGACGACAATGAA